GTCTCAGCCTCCCAAAATGCTGGGATTACAGGCATAAGCTACTGTGCTTGGCTGAAATTAGACTTTTTAGATCAGGATACAACATTGGGTTGTGTGAAACTTCAAATCTATTGTGTTGAAACTAAACTCTCCTTATTGCCAAATTAGAACATTATTGTTCACATTGGCAAAGAAATCCACACTTTTACAAAAGGGTTTTCTACCAGGCTTCTTGAAACATGGAGCTCTTCCATACTTTTCAAGACCGGAGCTATTACATAAAACTGGACACACATAGATGCTTGCATGGACAATGTTAGCACTTTAAAGTCCAATTTATAATGTGTAAAGCCCCAATTTGGAGCTGGCTAGATAGTCTGTGAGGCAAGACTTAATGAGTAACGTGAACCTACTTTGTCCCTATATCCTGAAGCATCATGTGTCTAACACAGACTTTGGCTTTCTGGGGTCACCATCCCTGGCTTCCTTCCCAAACTTCCATCTGAACCATGCTGCTGCCACTGCTTGTAACAACTTCCCCAGGCTGGCAAGAATCTAGATTAGGCACAAGTCTACATGACCAACACATACCATTTGCCACACCAAGTTGTCCTCTGTTTCTAGACTTGGCTAAATTGCTACACCTAGATCATTGCATCTGGCTTTCTGAGCACCTGCTATGGAGCAAAATAATATAAGATAAGAGTGTTAGTGCCCGCTAGAAAATGGAAGACAAAATAGAGCTACGAAATAAATGTTTCTTCATTTCTCCCTTCTGTGGATAACTCTGAGGACTGGCTTCTTCTTGAAATTCTAGAGAAAATCCAACAAGTAGCATGAACACACATGCCAATTGAATTGCATGCCTCCTCATGGTTAATCATGAAGCAGTGGCCAGCACAGTAACACATTGCATTGTTTTACATGTATCTTTGCCTCACTTCCCATTTTTTTCCACCCTTATATCCCTGCCCTTATGCCTTGCAAATACAGTGTCAGCACTTTAATCCTTGCTTAAAGATCTGCTTTCTAAAAGACATAGGTTAAAACAATCGTCCAAGAGTGATTCTAGAGAACAATGATCAGGATGGAATTTTGAGTTGAATGTCCCATTTGGCTTAAAGTAATAGGTACTCCATTGCTGGTAGTATATGGCTAGTAACAACTCCTTGGCATTTGGTAGACTCATGATTTTTTCAATTTTCACTGTAGTTAATTGGGATAAAATGCAGGTCAGGCATAAGACAAGGCATTGGAAGATTAAGTGACCATGGCCTTCAACCAGTATAGAAGCTGATACGGTTTGGGTGTGTCCCCACCCAAATCTCATCTTGAATTCCCATGTGTTGTGGGAGGGGCCTAGAAGGAGGAATTGAATCGTGGGGGCAGGTCTTTCCCATGCTGTTCTCGTGATAGTGAATAATGCTCACGAGATCTGACCGTTTTAAAAAGTGGAGTTTCTCTGCACAAGCCCTCTTCGCTTGTCTGCTACCATGTGAGGTATGCCTTTCACCCTCCACCATGATTGTGAGGCTTCCCCAGCCACTTGGAACTGTAAGTTGATTAAACCTCTTTTTTTTTGTAAACTGCCCAATCTCAGGTATGTCTTTATCAGCAGTATGAAAATGGACTAATACAGAAGCAATGTTACCTATGAGGCTTTTGGACTAGGATGGCTACTTATGGCAGCAGTAAAGACATTTAAATAAATAATAGGATCAGGGAAGTTGATTTATGGCTCTAGAAGCCAGGTGACTTGTATGGCAATATTAAAGGAGGTCTTTATTTCCTGCAACATCAGGGAAAACTGTGTGAAGATCAGATTCAGAATCTGATTCTAAGGGTTTTGGAGCTGCCATGAAGATGAAATGCATAGCCTTGACAAGTATTGTATGTCAAGTCAGGGTCCTGATAGCAAAAGTGTAGAAATCTCAGACTTGGAATGGAGACTATTAGGTGGATGAACCTGAGCATCTAGAAACTCCAAATTCCTGTAAGCCCTCCTTCCCCAAAGACGTGACACCTTCATCTTTGCCACAGAAGACTAGACTCTACTTGCTGGCTGTAGGGTATAATAATCTCACCTGAAGCAGTGGCTTCCCAAGGTGATGTCCGTCCTTTAAGAAAAGCTAACCTCCACCACCTCTCATTCTCTCCAGACTGAGAGCCAGAGGCAGGTCTGGGCAAGATTGGCTGCAGATGCAAAATCCTGTTTCAGGGTGAAATTGTCTAGATAAGAAAAAAGTTACAAACTCTAGCAAGAACTGCTGAACGTAAATTGAATATTGAGGGTAGTAGCCCAAAGAGGGGGCAAATACAGAGCTGGACAGTGGGGTATTCAGAAATGGGATAACTCATTTATGACTCATAATTTAGTTTTGTATCAAGAATACACAGAGAGTTTTCTAGGATGGTATTTGAGGCCTTGACTTCACAAGGAACTACAGAAAAAAAGTGGAGACCACAGAAATACCTTGGCATAGTGTTGAAGAAGAGATTAGAAGGTTCAGGGAACTGGGAATATGATACAGGGACCTCTTATGTTTAGACCAAGAGCCTGCCACCCAGAGGGCATATTTTTCACTCAGACAGTAGAAAGCGCATTGGTGAGCAAGATACCAGCATCTTGGAGAAGCTCAGTGGTGCCTTTCAAAGGCACACACTGCAAATATAATTACTTGATAGGCAGCTAACCAGAGTGGTAGGTTCAGTCAGAGTGCTTTGGTCCACAGGGCTCTATGACAGTAATTAACAGATTACAGAGTCCAAGGAGTGAGTGGCATAGACCACCAATTAGGGTGCTATTGGGTTTATACAAACAGGAAGATATCTCGAACTGGCAAATGGAAGACTGACATTAACCACAGAAAAGGAAAATTGAAGCCTACGCCTCAGAGTCAGTTCACAGAGCCAGAGCCCATTATGAATGGAATTCTAGAACCCTAAGTACTGATAAAAGTCATTCTCACAGAAGATCCAGTGCATCTGCAAACCCACCCTGTGGTTATTTCCCCAGTGCCCAAATATATAGTTAGGATAGATATAATTAGCATATACTTACCAGCTGGTAGATCCCTTACAGTAGTGGCCTGATTTGTGGAGTGAGGACCATTATGAGAAGAAATGGAAGACTTTGAAAGGTCAAATGGAAGCTCTTGACATTTTCCTATCCCCAATACTAGCTTCCAAGAAAAAATTAGAAGCAATGCACATTTCTGGAGGGAATTTTAGAGATTAGCATTACCATTCAAGATTTGAGAGATGGTATGTATTGGTCTCTATTGTATTCCCAATCAGCTCACCTCTGGCGGTAGACACTGCAAGCGTTAATACTCTGTTTCAGCCGGCTGGTCAAAAATATAAGTTTTTTATTTCTTATTTTTTTAGAGAATAGGGTCTAACTGTTACCTGGGCTGGACTTGAACTCTTGGACTCATAGGCTCAAGTGATTCTCTCACTTTCCAAGTAGCTGGGACTACAGGCACATGCCACTGGATATGGATATTTACTGGGGTAGAGCAACACAGCCTCAGGCAATCCATCAGTAGAGCGGGACCAAAGAAGTTTACCTTTTTTTTGTTTGTTTATGTAAAAATTTATTTGACCAAAATGTAGAAAAAGTGATACTATTACATATGATACAGTTACAAGAATCTAAAGAAAAGTGTGGATTTGATTCCATTGCACAATTTGCTAGTGTATTTCCTGGGTAGTGTGGTGCTGAATAAATACGAGTGGGTAAGCATACGTTTTTCTTAAGACGGAGGGCCATTTTGGTTCCTGGGGAGAATGGCAGCCCCACACTTTGAAGACAGGACCCCAATTTTCGTCGTGGATATAATTAAAACGCTGAAGACCATACCTTTTGGGTCAACGGTTGGTCGACTATAGGGCACCTCACATGGTACGGGATTTTTCCATCCAGAGCCAATAAAAG